ACTGATTTTTTTTTTCCCTCTAGCTCCTGAAGTCACACATTTGACACTTTATATGGTCAGCGAGATGCTGATGACTAGTGGTCTGGATTCTGTCGGTGGACACCTCCAAAGTTAAGGGCTCATGAGCATTCCGACGGTGTTTTCTTTTGGCGGGGGTGGGGAGCAACATTGAATATGTGATGAGTGATAGCGTGTACAAACGGAACCCGCTTTGATTGTGACGATTCAAAAATAGATTTTGACAGCTTCATTTCCTCCAACACGACAAGTCGCCATGATGTTGCACATACTCGCTGGTGACAAAACTAACGCTTCTACATCAGCACCTCGACTCAGGAGTGACCCAATTTCCCAGTTTCATGTTAAACTAATCAGAAAAATGCCACCAAATTGCTGCCTAACAAAAGTCTGCTAGCTTAATGCTAGCATTGGGAAATGTTAAATATGCGCTCATGACACTACAATCAGAACTGTGTTAGTTCTCGCTGAGAAAACCTCCAGAAGTCAAAATGTCAAATAATTTTCCCCCCACAAAATTCTAAACACCATACATCATAAGGACAAGGAAGTTTTTTTTTTGCAAATTTATTGCATATAAAAAGCTAAAAAATAAAATGAAATAAAAAAAAAAATCACTTCCCTTCTATTCAGCAAGGACAGGGAAGTTCGTCAGAGTTGATGGAAAGACGGATGGAGCTAAATATACTTTAGCAATCCTGAATGAATATTTTTGCTGGCTGCAAAAAAACAAACAAATTTGAGACTGAGAAGGAGATTCATCATCCCGAATTATGACAGTGAAACCACAAAATTATTACTTGTACACAACAAGTTAACAGATTACTAGTTTTGAAATCAGTCAAGTCAATTACAATAGTTTGTTCAATTATTATTCAAGTGAGTGTAAACAGGGAAACAAAATTATTGCAGAATCTCAATGTTACTTATTGTTCGTGACAATTGAACATTTCGGTACAGATTTTAGCAAGTTGACATACATGATTTGCTTTCGCGGGCCACATAAAATGACCTGGCCGGCCGGATCTGGCCCCCGGGCCTTGAGTTTGACACCTGTGGTCTATGGTAAGATTTACATTTTTACATTTTACAAGCCGTGAGAGATGTATCTCCCCCCCCCCGCCCCC